TCATAATTGCTTGTATGTATCAAATCTTGAAATAGTGTTATCCTTTGACTATCCTCCCTCATGTCTACCCACAGATACTCATACAGATATGACCATATGCCCTTTCAAGCTTTGTTTTGTCAGATAGTTATATCCATCTCAGCTGGGAAAACAGGTTCTCATTCCCCTAATCATCCCACTCCACACCTTCTGTGGACCAATGTGGGCCACCAGAACTGTAAGGAGCATCCTGACAGGTGTCTTACCAATGCAACATTAACACTTTATTATCTTTACTGACAATACCATCTTCTGTACCATAAACCTGCTTCATGGCCATGATGTATTGATGGCATACAGCTACTACTCAACTAACACATTAAACATCTCTACTAAGACCAGCAGTTACCAGGTCACCAGATTATACTAGAATAACATGATATTATTCCCTAAGCATCCACCTCTATTTTCTGTACTATTAGGTTTCCATTATGTTAGTCCATATTTTTTTTTTCTGATATTATAGTCATATTCCAATTTTGTACCATCTGTTAATGTCATATTCATTCCCCTACTTCTTTTACCAAGCTTAAAAATTTCAATCAGTTCCAAGACCAGTCCTAGAAAAATTCTATAAGCAACAGCTTTTCATCTTGATGTTTCAGTTTTTAAGATAATCCTGTTTGCTCTTCCCTTTATTCAGTTCCTCATCCATCTTACAATTCTTGCATTAAAACTCATCTTCTCCACCTTAAATAATTTCCCACAAGGAACAACATAATGCTTTTCCTTGATCAAGGTAGATTAGGTTTGCTGCATTACTCTTCTCTGGGACAGTTATCTTATCAAAGAAAGATACTAAGTTAGTCTGGCATGATCTACCGTTGATAAAAGCATGTGGTAGTTTATCCCACTCTCCATTTATGTCCTTGATTATTATTTCCTTCAAAATCTATTCTAAGACCTTCCATTTTTGCTAAGGTCAAACTACCTGGCCTATATTTCATTTGACCACCTCTTTTTTTCTGAATCTGGGGATTATGCTTGTTATGCTTCTGTTGTACAGTACCAGTACTGGACTGAATAGATACAGAAAAATCCCTGCTAATTCATGAGCATTTGTTCATTCTTTCAATGCCCTGAAATGGGTTCTTTGTAACCCCTCCGATCTCATCATAGTAATCATGTTATGTTTAGTTGCTGTCTCACATATGGAAATGATCATTAGTCTTGTCTTCCTTTTAAGTAAACTTAGATTTAAGCCCCGGTGAAAACATTGGCAAAGTATTTATTTGCTATTTGGATCATCCCTAGTTAATCCTCATTTCGTTCCCAGTATTCTGTGTTTCCTTACTTTTTACTCCTGTGCTACTTGTGCCACAGTATTCTAATTTTCTTCCTAATGTGGTAGCTGTCCAAATGGAGAAAAGTGCAGGAGAAATGTTATAGTTGGACTTTGGTAAGGGTTTTTGACACTGACATTCCATTTTCACATTGTCTTATATCGGAGCTCTCATAAGTGAACCATTTCCTAAATCCAAACTGTTGGAAGATGGAAAGTCATATGAAGAAAGCGTCATTTAATACTTTGTTTCTTCTTATATTGTTCCCTAGGCCTTCAGCATTGGCCACTGTCATGGAGAGGACAGCAGGCACAGTAGCCCTTTCATCCGAGCCAGCATAACCATGCTCATGAGCTCACATATGTTCTTCACTTATCAGTATTCTTCACTTATCAGTATTGTCTGAGTGCACAACAGGTTGAAAAATTGGGTGAAAACTTTGATCCAGCAAAATGCACAACCAAACTTTCTTTAAGACTCCAAAACACTGTCCATGAACAAGGTGAATGTCTGTGTAGCAGCAGATTTTTACCAGTCAGCAATGAAAGCAGGTGCTGTGCAATTATAAGCAAAGACAACAGAAAGCTTAGATTCAGAAATATGAAAGACTAATCTTTACTTCTGTAACCCAAAGGGTTACAGAACCCAGTGCAGCCTTTCCAGATGGAATTACACAAGATCTTGGATATAAGACTCAAGTGGAGATATCACAATGCAAACAGCAGGCTCTCCTTATAAAGAACATCTGCTGCAAAGTTGTTTACATTCCTACCAAAATGGAAAAGATATAACTAATTCTCCAGGGTAACCAGACGTGCTGATTTTCATGCTGTAAATATATATTTATATATACACACTGTTTTTTTACTTAGTCATGTTTTTTTAACATAATTATGTCACCTGAAAGAACAGAAAACAGGAGCTTGGGGAACAAAGAAACATACTATATTCATTTCCATATAATTTGTAGGGGTTAGTTTCTACATTTTTCCATACTTTAAATTTTATTATATGGATTTATGTAGTTTATTTCCTGGCCATTACAGGGAGGAAACACAGCAGGTCCCTTCCCGAGTCCCTTTCTGAGAAGTCTACCAGAAATGGAGAGTTTTCAAGCAACAGGCTAGAAGTCAGCTCTCACTTTTAGAGAGAGAAGTAGACAATGCTCGATCCCAGTTCACCAGAAAAATACAGCTAGGTTATCAATTACATATTACTGATGTTCCTCTTCTCCATCACCCTGCTCCAGGTTTTCAGAAGTATCAGTTTCAGAAGTAAGTCAAAAAAAAGAAATTTATTTAGAAATATAATTCTGTAATTTCTAGTTTCTACTCACACCTTTACAGTGAACACCATACTGCATAGTCTAATCCTTACCCTGCCTCTACTGTTTTTGGCTTTCAGAAAAGTTATTTTTGAAATAATCTGAGAGTATACCCTTTAGAAATATTTTTTATGGATTTGAAAATAGAAACAAAATCTTTTTTTTCTTCTTCCTACACAAAATAAAGAAGAAACTTGTAGAAGAAACTTTACTGTTAGCACAGCAGCTTGATTACAAAGGGCAATTACTAATTCTGAAGTACACTAGAAAGATATGACCTGATTACAGCACAGTGATTAAGATACAGATATAGATTAAGATTAGGATGTACTGATATGACCAACAAAATAAAATTAAAGTCACCTTTCTAGCAGTCAGTGATTTACTAAGGATGTTATTCTTTGTAAAAGTTGAAGTTGAGCAGAGGTAAATCCCGTTTTACTTTTATTCTGGAACATTTATCTTCGTACCATCTCAGCCATTTCCATGGGAGCTGGGCTATCTACCTTTCAAGAAAAGGCCCTAGTCCTGATTCTGAAAGCACTTTTATGTGTTTCACACATGCATCATTCACTTTATAGAATCCTGAACTTATTTATGACTTATTTGACATGTAAATTGAAGCACATGGCAAATATCTGCGGGAGTCAAAAGCTATCGAGCTGAATTTCAAAGGCTTGTTCCACTTTGAATTTTTCAGTCTCTCAAGGAATCTTTTACACTGTTAATAGTGCTCAATGGTCATTCTCAGACAGTGAGAAGTATAGCTGGAGCCAGTCTTTTCTTTCTAGGGAGAGCAGTTCCTGTACCATAATTAAAGGCACTGAAGAACCCTTCACGGAAAACAGTTCTTTCTTTGGTAAGTGACACTGGACACTATCCCAGCCTAGAGCAGCTTTCTCCGAAACACAAAAGCATTCAAGTCTCAAGAACATCAAAGAAGGCTTTTCATTTTATTTTCTCCTTGATCCACTGATAGCGCAGTTCATTTACTCTAAGTCAGTAAAACGACTTTTTCACTCAACAGACCTGTGTAACAAATCACTGTCTCAATTGCCAAATGTTACCATTTGACTCATCCGCTTTTCCTTTGGCCTTTGGGAAGGAAGCTTCACTTCTGAAACATTTTCTAAATTCACTTTTGTGAACTCTTCTCCCTCGGTTGCGCTTTGTTCCCCTTTAAAAAATAATCACATTTTCTGCAACATAATGTGCTAGTTTCAGGTTTTAAATTTCATCAGAACTCATATTTTCTTTCTCAAATGGAACATTGACTTCTCTTTAAAAAGTACCATTTTATGGCAGCTACCACACAGTGCTTTTTAAGGAGCACCATGTTATAACATTTTTCCAGAATTCTCTGTATCATTCTAGTAACTGAGAACAGGTTTTTCACTACCAAATCATTTTTACTCTCCTTTCATGTATATTGCTTTATATTTTTGTAATCAAGGATTTTCTCCTTCTAATTTCTAAAGATCTTTGCTGCATTCTAATTCCAGGCAGTACCTCCTCTGAGGAAAACTCAAGACAGGACTGTCAATACTCCTAATCTTTTTCAACGTTAAAAAGGCTGGAAGGATATAAAGTTACATTCCTCTAGGCTTTCCCTCCTCAAAGCAAATCGGTCAACTTCACACAGGTAAGACTTGCAGGGGATGGAGTTAGACCTTTCCAAGATGCAGAAACAAGTCTTGCGGTATGAATTTGTTTTAGATTAGTTATTTACATTTCCATCTATTCCAGGCAATAATGTATGAAGTATAAAGCTGCAAGGAGCTCATTGCTGTGTTAAACTGTATGCCAGCATATTTCTGACCAGTTTAGGGTGGGCAAGGTACTGGTCTCTGTTTGCAGAGCCCATTAGCGCTAGAAGTGCTGTCATTTCATATAACCATGATGGCACTGCCTTGGGTTTGATCACTGTTACTTAGTTTTTAGGCAGTCAGCTTTACCAGCCGCCTGGGGATTGCATGAAAATAGAGGATTTTAGCTATGACTGTCACGGTTAGGTATCAGCCTTCAAAAGAGGAATAAAACTGGGTCAGTCAGCTTTACCAGCCGCCTGGGGATCACCTTGGGTCATGGTTAGGTATCAACCTTCAAAAGAGAAATAAAACAACTGGGCGGATATATAAAACTTATTAAAAACATATGGGGGACGCTGTAGAAGGAAGAGCCCAGGGGAGGCCAGGGCAGAGCAGGGGTCTGAGGGAGGGCAGCGGTCTGAGGGAAGGCGCCTGGTGCAGCCCCCCTGCCCTGGAGCACCCCGGTCTTTCGTTGAACAGCCCTCCAAGAAGGCCGCGAGCCCCGGGGTGCCACACGCTCCTGGAGCTGCCGCTGAGGAGGCGGCCATGAACCTAGACACCCTCTTCCAGCAGATCCAGCGCACGGAGAAGCAGGCCGAGGAGAAGAGGCGCCTCATGCACCAAGGTCAGCGCCCGGCCGCCATCTCGGGCACCCACAGTGGCCTCTCCCTTCTCCACAGGGTGCTGGGAGCCGCGCTCCTGCTCGGGGCCGTATCCCGTAGGGAACATGGGGCTGCCTCCCGCCTTCTCTGTGGCGCCTTTCTTTAAAAACGCAACTTTTACAAACCAATCACACATGCTGACAGGTTTGTGTTGTGTTGCAGTTAAACTGGACATCAACAGAAGTTATGAAAAAATTGGCCAAATAAAAGAAGAACTGAGCAACGCAAAAATCACATTAGAAACTAAGGTAAGCTGGCAATGTTTATAGTATAAGTAATAATGACATGCAACATTTTTACAAGTGGATGATCTATATTTTTTATGCGTGAGCTCATAAACACTTTCAAGAAGTCTTCCTCTACCGAGTAGCTCAGCTTTTAACAATTTTACAACACATATTTCTGTAACGGTCGTTACCAGCACATCCACGTGTTTCACCTGAACCAAAAGCTGCTGGTGACAATTCTCTAAAAGCGATCTCGCTCCTCAGGCTGAGCCTGGGCATGAGCAAGGACTCACTCCCTTGAGGGGCAGAGACATTTCCAGATATCACCCCCAAATCCAGAGGTCACCGAACACGTAGCGTTCACACAGGGAGCATCTGTGGTGCAGTGTGAGCAGCCTCGACTTAACAGTGTTGGAGCAAACTGAGGCCCTTCCTCAGAGTCCAGGAAATGATTCCTTCATTGCTCGCTCCAATTCATTAAAAGCTTTAATTTTTTTCACAGACTTCACTGGATCTTGAGCCATATGCTAAAATCTGCCTGTGAGCCTACGCTCACGGTTATGCCAGACTTAAGAGTTTGGCTAGTGATGCTAAAGACAGAGACAAGTTTCTAAATCTATTTAATATTTTTCAGATTTTACTATGCTTTTCTTTTATTCAAACTGCTATCCTGTTTTTAGATTAAGCTTCCAATTTTGCAAACTTTTTTCAGCATTAATATCTGTCACTACAAATGATTTTAAAAATCCATTTGCTTGTGCCTGCAAATGAAGTCATCCCTTGGGCTTATACGTATCTGCTCTGGCAAAATGCATATGCACAAGGGAAAAGCATATGGAGTTTCCTCTGAAAATGTGACTGTTGTGTCCTATTGCTTAAACATCTACAAGAATACTTGGGGAATTACCTCAGCTAATTATGAAAATAAATGTTTGGGAGGTGAATGGCTTTTGTTAAAAAACATGTATTGTGTATAATACACCCCAGTATCACTGTGGTAGGGTCAGAAAAATGACAGAAACCATTTACAGGATTTTCCAGTTGCAAATTCATTCTATGATCTTGCAAGCACTTATTCACATGCTTATATTTATGGATGCCACAACCACAGGGCCCAGCAGAGCTTTAGAACAGTAACTGTTATTTAGTCAACACCAAATTGTATTTAGATGGTATTTGTTAAGTAAATTAATTTATGAACATCACAATTTTATTTGTATACTGCTAATTTGTTATTGATTCACTGTGATTCATAATCAAGATTTGTGAGGTACATATAGATGGTCCCAAGAGAAGAGACATTATTATAAATGACTAATGTGAAGAACTGAAAAACCATTCATAATTAAGTCTTCTGTGCCATTCCCACTATGATTAATAATAATTTTACTGGTGTTCACAGAAATACATTTTATTTGCCTGTTAATCTGACATTGATTGATGTATAAAAAGAAAATGATACCAAAAATGCAAAAATGCATTTCAGTCAGACTGTCTTTTGGATTAAGGCTTCAGTACAGTTGCTGAATTTAAAGTAATTTATTTTTCACTTCTGACATTAACTTTACTGTTTACACTTTAAACACATGTACAGGAGTTAATACAGTTCAGTTCATACTAAATAAGACTGCTGAACTAGATTCCTGTATCAGGTAACTGCACATCTTCTCTCTAAGCATACATACCCAAGCACATGCATGCAGAGGGCCTTTTCCTGAGCAAGCAGATGAGACTGAGTTCAGGAGTGTTTTGACATCTATTTCACAGAGACTGCCTGTGGTCGATCACAGGTTCCCAGGAAATGCTGTTTTCTTCTTGTGTTCTGCAAAATCAAGTAGCATGTAATTAGAATCTGAATTATAGCATTTTTCCTTTCATGGCTCAGTGATTTCGTCAAGAAAAACTGTTGCAAATGCATGGATTATATATGCACTGTACGGATGAAGAAACTACATTGTTGCTAGCTATATTCCATAATATAAATAGAGTAGAATAAGACCATCTCTCTGAATTAGTATGTAAAATAGATATTTTTGAGGCAGCCAACTCCTTGGCACTCTGCATGGCAGACATATCAGGGACAAAGAAAAATCTGGTCCCTTCTTTTCCAACACCTATTCTGATTTCATCACATTTCCTCTGTCCTCGTTCTTTGTGATCAGATGTACTTCATCTGCACTCTCTCCAAAGTCATCTATATTACTGGCAGATTTGTTGTGTTTTTTGCCTCTGCACTATTATTACTAATTGGTCTTTTCCCTTCTGTTAACATGAACAGTCATGTATCACCTTGTGTCTTTATGGTCTGTGGGCAGTGCTGCTAACTATGGTTTTCCTACTCACTGATGTGATTCTTACAGGTTGAGTTATTCTCTTGACCTCATCTTCTCTGTTATATCAGATGAATGCTTCTCATCTTTGAAGACTCTTCAGTGTTTAGCTGTTTCCTGTTTACCTGCTGTTATAAATGTATCCCACCATATATCTTAACTTAGGTTAAATAATACATAGTATGATGGAAAACTAAGAGATATTTTTGAGAAATTTTTGAAAATGCCTTGGTTGAACAGCATAAACTGCTCTTTAAAATAATCTAAACTAAAATATATATATATATATCACTACATGCAAAATACCAGCTTCATCCCCTGAGCAGTCTTTCCATACTTCCTTCACTGACAGTTCCAGAAACTGGGCTCAGAAAAAATATGAGCATCTCTCTCCTCCTCCAGCTACCTAACACCAGCATTGCGGGGTGGATGCAGGGTACAGCCATTTAGACAATTGCAGTCACCACAGTGATCTCGCACATCTGTCCCTCTGATGTTACTGTCTGCTTTGGTACAGGAGGAGCAGGACCATGGGATGGAGGACACTATTATGTTGGGATTCAATGGGATCACTTTTTTCCCCCCCATTCTTAACCTGAAAATATTTCTTCTAAGCTGGATAAAGTTCAGAAAGCCCTTTCAGAAAGAGCCACTAGCACTAAATCTGGCCTTTAAAGAGAGGATATGTCTCCAAATTTTTATGGAAGATTGGAAGCTAATGAGGAAAAAAAGAGCTATTATGTTTCTTCTAGCCCAGCAGCTATGCTGGCTGTGTTCTAACTGGACAAAGATCCTGTTATTCCATATCAAAATATATGAACCAATAAAACAATATCCTCATTTTATAACTTTTTCTTTCTTTCTTTCTCTTGGAAGGTTCAGCATCTTTCTGAAAAACTCTTCTACTTAGAACTTCTGAAGAAACGAGAAGACAGCTTGGAAAAACAGAAAGTAGAACTTAATAATCAAAAGAGCACTCTTCTTAAAACCTTTGTATGTCTCCAGCTACAGTATTCAGATGGTTCATCTCTACCAAATTGCATGAACGTAGTCAGCTTTAAAATTTGAAAATTAATTTGAAAATTTGAAGAATTAATTGAATAATTAATGTTATAAATCTCAACAATAAAAGTATTTTTAACTCTAGCATATTTAAAAATATAAATGCAAATAAATGGTCTCTAGTAATTTAGTATATGATTTGAGGTAATGTGTATTCCAGAATACTTACAGAACTGATTTAACATTCTTAACTTTAATTTCTAATGTCTACTGCTAAATGACTGAACACCAATTCTCATGTATTATTTCCTTGTAAAAGAAAAGTAACAAAAGTAATCTGAAACTGAAGTGCATCATCATCCACAATAAAATTGAGAAGGATCCTAGGAAGATCTGATAGAGGCCAAAACTATATATTAGGAATCCTGAGATTTCACATGACCTTTTAATGTTAACCCCACCTATCCAGAGTTGCTTGGGCCACTCTGGAAAAGGGAGCTCTTCACAACGTAAACAGGGGACAGGTTGCCCATTGACTCTTACACTACCCTGCACCTGAATATTGACTCCTCCTTCCTTCCTTTTGGCTCCTTGGATATTTAAATACCAAGTAAGGCCACAGATGAGCTGCCTTTGCTGCATACGTGCTAGTACTTTAAATCAGCAGAGCTGATTTTTGCACATTCAATAGGTTTTACTTGAAATTGAATCACTCCGAAGTATTTATGGAGCTATCCTTTTAATTAAGTAATATTCCTTCAATACTCAAAATATTCTCAATCCTTAATATATGAAGAAAGAAGAAATACTATTAATATCATAGTAACGTTATTTAATTTGTACAGCAAAATTGCTGTCATCTGATGAAATGTAAATTTTCTTCTAATTATAACTTGTGAGCTTAATGTGTAGGTTATCATTTCTTTCTTCCTATATATAGGGTCATTTCTTTTTATTTAATTCAACAAGTAGTTAACTCTTTACAAAGAGTTTAACATTGTCGTGGTCTTTAGCATATTTATTCCCAGAGAGTAAAACAGATTTCTTGGGAGTTATCAGGAGTTACTGTGCATCTGCATTCTGCAGTGGAACAAACACCACCTCTGTTTAATTTAAAAGCCATCTAAAAGAGAGTGGCTGTATCATACTACCAATTTTTAATAGAACTTTCTACTAATTTCAATAAAGACTTGAACTTAAAATCATCTGTCACTGCATCTATAAGATAATTAAGCAATTTTTAAAATGCTTGCATGTAAGAAATATACCCACTTACTTTGTTTGAAAAGCAAGATTAAAAATAGACAAAATGATAGTTGTAGACTATCTTTCTGTTCTCATATGTCAGGAGAAGTAAATATATTACTTCTACAAAGTGTAGCGGTAAACAATGACCTCATTTTTTTTCACGTGAACATTCAATATCTCTCTTATTTTTTCAGACAGATGAAAAGAGAAAGATGACTGAAGAAGAAGAAAAATTTACTAGGGAAGTAACAGAATTTAACAACGAATATGGACTAACAAGTAACAGAGATCTTCTGATTAAAAATAAAGTCAAGACTGAAATAAATGATTTAGAGAAGGAAGCAGCTCTTTTAAAAAGTGGTAAGTCTTATATTGAAGGATTTTATCTTAGATTACCAGAACATAGAAATCAGTAAAATAAAAAGACAGGTATGGATCAGTTGGAAAAGAGTGAGAATGATCAAAGATCTAGAGGATATGACAAGGAAAATTGAAAGAGTCAGGACTATTCAACCTGGAGGAAAGGACTGAAGGAAGATTGATACTCTTCAAATCTCTAAAAGGCTTCTGTAAAATGTTATATATTCTCCACACTCCTAATGAACTGAATGAAAAGTAACAGGCATAAACTGCAGTAAGGAAGTGTCAGCCTAGCTGTTTGACAAATGTTTCTAATAGAAACATTGGAATCAGATTGCCTTGGGAAATTGTAGGATCTTTATTACCGAGGGTCTTAAAGACCAGGTTGGAGAAGCATCTGTCAGAAATGACAGAGGAGGCGCTGGTCCTGCCTTCGGGAGGAGGAGCGCCCTGGATGACCCTCCACGTCCTTCCCAGGCCTGCGGTCCATGATTCATCAAACAGCAGCACTTGTTATTATCCCTTGGCCTCTGATGCGAAGGCGCTGAAATACAACTGTCCACTTGTGTTTATAGCTCATGGCACCTTCATATCTATTTGATGTGGTTCTGATTCTGATCTGCAGATGAAAAAAATCAGTCTGTATTTGGTGGAAAATTTTACATTTAACGGTTAATTTATTTTGATATGATTACATATTCAGACATCTGATCAGTCAGTCTCTCTGAGGTTAGGTCAGTGGGGCACAAAAGGTGGCTAACATCTTTTTCAGTGTCAATTTTTGTCTTGATTCCACCCTTTTTAAATTGCAGCCCTTTGAGTTACAGATTGTCTGGTTTTGTGTTTGAGACAGTCCTGAGCACACTAGCAGCACTAAATAGAAAATGATTAATAACTAAAAACAAGTAAAGTATGTGAGGTTGACCAGTTGTGAGGGAAACGATCACAGTTAACTCCATATGCTGTCACCATTCTGGTTCAAATGCTCGTAACACTAAACAAAATATGGGGTTTTTTAGTCCTGCTGAAATCACCTATTTAATGTCATCTTCCTTTATAGCTGAAGCTGAACCTAAAGCAAAACACAATTATTTTTATGTTCTGCCAACAAAACTGCCAAGCATCTTAATAAAATAAAATAAAATAAATCTTTCATAGTAATGAGTGTATTATATGTCAGATAATTTCATATTAACTGGATTTTATAAAGTAATTTTAGTTTTCTATTTAATGCTCTTTTTGAGTAGCTAAATGTGGCTAGTAGTAGTTAAAAATATTTAAAAGTATATAATGAAAACTAAAACTGTAATGCTTTTAATTTAGACTGTATGTATTTTTTTCTTAGAAATGGAGTCAATGGAACATAAAAATGTTCAGTTAAATGCACTCCAGTTGCAGAAGAATGAATTAAAGCAGGATTTATTTGCTCTCCAGAGCAAACTCCAAGGTATTTGTGTGTCTGATAATCACCTGTGTGTCTGTTATGATAATTATATACAATTTGACAAATGCGTTTGAATTTTTTTTTTCTGACAGGTTATTTTTGTCAGTGAATGAGAGTAAGTTATGGAAATAAGACCTCTATATTTTACATTATATAGCTGATCAATTTAAAGCATGGCCATAACAAATACTAATTCTAATACTCATATTGAGTGTCACTGATACGGAGGTACACAGAGATTTGCTGAATCACAACCTGTAAATATGAAAAAGAAATTTCTACTGTTGCTGCTAAGATGTATATTGTGGAATTTAGTGTTTAAAAGTGAATTTAAAATTAGCATAAATATTTTTAAATCCATTGAACTATAATTAAAGAATATCACTAGCAATCAAATGTTTAAGAAGTGACATTTTTTTTTGCACAGATAAACACAGATTTGGCTAAAGAGCTAGACCTCTGTAAATGTGTAAATAACAGGTCATAGTAAGTGAGCCAGGAGGGAGATGTGCACACATTTTTTTTTGAGAAAAATATGAAGTTGTTTTTAACAATATTTTTACCAATAGTAAAACACTGTCTCTCATTCTTATACTTTTATCCTGTAAATAGTTTTTCACAACAAAATGTTTAAAAAGATATATTTAGAAAATATAGGATGCTCTGGAATACATATGACTAAAGTGATTTCTAAGGTTTTTGTCATTTTATGTTTAGAACTTGAAAATGTATTCAGAGAGGCTAAAGAAATTACAAAAGATTTAGAAGCAGAAAAAGTCCAAGTCACTGAAAAACCTCAGACTGATCCTGAATGTTTAAGGTAATAGTGTCATTTCAGTAACTTTCTAAAATAAGTTTTAGATCTGTAATTATGGATCAGTCCTAGTAGTGATGCCTATTTTGCATTTCCTGTGTAATATATGGGGACAAATTGTTAATGATTCATTAAGTGTTAGTTTACTCAAATGTACATTTAACTTTTCCCCAAACACAAAATAGGTTAAAAAAAAAAAAGGCAATGTTCTTCAACAAGAAATATTTCAAGGCAAAAAAGAACTATACCCCAAAGTTACTATCCTTTTTCTATTTTATGGTGCCCTCTATGAAAGTGAGTGCGAATATTTAAAATTACTTAACAAACAATGCAAAATAACTCTTCCTAACAGAGCTGGTCCAAGACACTCTCTAATAGAAATTTCCAGAAAATCTTTTGTTAACATCATATTTTTTCCTATACATTTCTGAGTTCCTGACTAAAATGAATAATAAGCTAATAAAAAAATGAGGGGAACCCAGAGTGTTTTTTATTTGGAGGTTGGATTTCTAAAACCCATTTCTGTCTGAAAACTAATTTTTGAAAGAAAATTTTCTATTAACAACTCTTTTCAAATTCTTTTATGTTGTTGAGACATGGCCAAAATTTCCTCAGGATAGAGATTAATTAGTTTACAGTTCTTCATACAACAGCAAGAACTTTGCATTCAACATATACGCAGAGGACACTGTAAATAACAATAGTGACTGTAGTTCCATAGGACAGTGTATTTTAATTCTCTTTTCTACATTATTCACTCCACTATGATGTATTAGGTTTTCTTACATATGAAGTTGTCATATTCCATCTACATAACACACTTCCCTTGGAGCATTTGACTGCCATGATGCTACTTAATTTTCAAATTGGCATAATTAGTTTTCTAAAGATAGTTTCTGTATTTAAGATACAACATTAGCAAACATTACATTTCTTTAGATCCCATGCTCTGTCACTGATTCAGAACAAGACCACAGATAAATCATTTCTCATATTTATGTCTTTATAACTAGGAAAATTAACACACATATATCGTGGTTGTGCCTGGGTGGAAGACACAAAGTGGATAAAATATGTCAAATTATCTTAACCACAAAACCAGCAAACTTCATTCACAGGCAAACAAGAAGCATGATAAGATTTTTTTAATTCATAAAATGTTTCATTTTATGGTAAGCGTACATTATTTAACAGTTGCATGTAGTTGCCTAAGGATATAAAATGCTACTACTGCTATTGCTACAAGAAGCAAGTGCTCATATATATACATATATGTATATATTTCATTTCAGATACTGGAAAAATTGAGTTGCCTAAATCTTATTTTTAACTTGCACTTGCTTTTGATCTCTGTATACATGCAAAAGCAGAATGATTTACAGAGCTAGAGAGCTCATAGCTCTCACACAATCTAGCTTAGATACCAGAAGCAATTTAGCTGTTATTGCACTTTTGTGTTAGCACACATAGATTCTCCTTTTTGATACTGCTTAACACATGAGCATAGGTACCACACTTCCACTACGACCCTTATTTGCCCACCTCTGCATGTCATTGTGCTGTACTGTGTTAAATAATCCCAAACATCATCAGATTCATACACTTCTATAAGTTTATGTCTTTACAAAACCTGCTCATCATTTTTTGGGTTGGACATCTGAGTTAAAAGAGAAATACTGACTTAAAAGTATTACATGATTTAAAGTATTATATGGTATTAATAGCCTATTTGGGGTCACAAGAGAGTGAAAAAGAAAACTAATTAAATAACTGCAAATGGCACCTTAGGTTATGTTATCCTGAACTCTCTGCTGACTTGGTCATCAAAATAATACAAAGGGAGAAAGGAGTGAAAATTAAATCTTAACATTCCTCAGTCACTTATTAAACTATCTTTGATTGCTTTACTTTTTGTTCTAAAGTTGCATATTCAACAAAGAATATGACTTCTTGACCTTCAAAATAATAAGCTATTTTCCATCAAACAGCTTTTAACATTAAATGAAGGAGACGTAACATCAGCACAGTTCATTCAGAGTTGACTCAGCAG